AATTCTTCCCCCTCTTCTCCAACTGCATTCATTAAAATTGTTGAATTTGCCCCCCCCCCCCCAAAAAAAATGCTTCCTCCAGGAGTTCAAAAGGTAAGGCTGGGTAAGATTTTTGCCTGTGGTGCTAACTCTTGACTCCAACCCCAGAGACTATCTGGTATGATGGTGTACTATGACCCACCAACCTGGAGGTAGAAGCAGTGTACTAATGAACACTCAGGATATCCCAGAACATGACTACAGGTAATTATAAGAATGCGTGTAATAAAGTAACTGGAAACTTTAGAGGATCCATAATGATTCAACTAGCATAAAAGTTAATAAAATGATCAAGGGCATTTATACCTAAAGTATCATTGGTATGTTCTGTATATTTTTCATGATAAGTGTTTTTGTTGCATTTAAGCTATTGCTGCTATGTGAGCACTGCAATACTGCAATACTAGATCTTTTCTAGGTGTAGGGAGAGAAACCTTCTAAGCCACATATTTGTACAAATTCTTGTTCCTGCTGACTTCCAATTTTAATGGTGACAGTCCTGGGAACAAATATGAGTTGCTTACTTGGCTTTTGACTTAAAAGATGTGAATAAAATATTTTGTATCCTTATATTACTTCATTCATAAATGATACTTCTTGTAGTCAAAGTCGCCTTAAGCAGTTCAGCAACTTTTTCTTAAAACAATTTTAAATAACCATTTAAAATAATGGGCAAGTATTTAAACAGCTCAATTTAGAAACAGTTAGAATTTGATACTTTTTTTTTCAAAAAAATAGGCATTTCTTTAGCAAAAGGAATAAAAGTTAATTAGGACTTCTTGGTAAAAACATGAGTTTGGTGTAATGTAGTCTCATCTTGTATCAGGCTAGACCTGAATACTAGTTTCCCTTTAGGCTCAAAGACAGTTGGGTAACCTTGTATCATTAACTTTCTTTCAGCCTTAGGAAGCAGCCAATGGCAAACCACTTCTGAAATTTTGCCAAGAGAACTTGCAGGGTCTACTCCAGGTCGTTGCCAGAAGTCACCAGAACTCAATACAACACAACAGAACTCAAAGGAACACACGCACACAACACCCCCCCCCCCCAAGATATATAGTAACTATAACTATAATCTGAAAGGTTCAGATTAAAACAAAAAGCTTTTCCTATTGTGGAGTCATCCATATTAGGGTCCTCATATTTTGAAAACAATTTGCAAAAAAGACCTCATGTGGGTCGATAAAGAATACCTCTCCGGTATTCTGCACAAACAGAAACAAAAAGAGATGCTGTTCTGGAATGAATCAAATAATTAAAGCAGCATGTTTTTAATACAACCATCTTTTTTAAGCTCATGCATAAGTCTGATAAACCATGTTTACATTCATGAATAATGAGAGATCATGCTCATGAGATTAGAAACACTTCAACCAAATGTGCCAAGCCCTATTCTATGTAATGAAAGCACTCATTACTGAATAGTGATGAATCAAAATTTTGATCTCGTCTTTTCTACTGTATAACTGGAACCTTAAAGACCCATTCAATCTGGAACTTTATGTGACTGTTTTAGGAACAATATTCAGATTGGCTCTCCCAGCCAATGCTGAAAAATACTTAAAATTCAGACCCTGTGCTGTAGCCAAAACTGCAACTTTGAAGACACTGGACTGTAAGGTCTTGAATGGCAAAGACAATAAATAATACCAAAGAGTTTGTGAAGCTGAAAGGGAATATTGGCAGCAAATGTTCCAGCAAAAAATCTGGTGCCATGTAACTACGTGTCACAGGAAG